AAAAAAATCGAAGAAATCTGAAAAAAAAACTATGTTATGCAGAAAAATAAACTGAACGACTTTTGCCTGGTACTCACTCACACCCTATTCTCTGCTTTAGCGAAGGTGGTACTCACTCAAACCGTATTCCCTGCTTTAGATCTTGGTACTCACTCAAACCCTATTCTCTCGCTTGAGATCTTGGTACTCACTCAAAACCTGTTCTCTCCTCAAGATGAAAATTACCCACTCAATACACGTTTTCAACAATGACTCAACACCAAAAGTTCATTCTCTACTTGAGATCATACTCTCATTCGGAACCTATGCTCAACCCATTTTTAAGAACCTCTTCTTTTCTTTTTTCTTTTTTTCTTTTTTTTCAAACACCTGTCGAGGCTGATAGGGAGGGGTGGTGGTTTGATAACAGCACCCTCCCCTAGCACCCCCCCTGTCTATTTGGTGGGGAGGAGTCGCACCTGCTGGAAAACGGGGAACTTCACTGCAACCTTTTTTTTTTTTTTTTTTTTTTACGCACTGATGAAAAGTTATTCACTACTTTCTCTCTCTACATGACCCTACCGTCTTCCCCCGAACACAACGCACCCTCATTTTGGCTGTACCTGACCAGAAATATAGCTTGTATGCATTCATTTATCACGGTGCGTTATGTTCGGGGGTAGACAGTAGCTGCCCAACAGCTATTCTATTCTATACGGATCCCCCGAACACAACGCACCCTCATTTTGACTGTCCCTGACCAGAAATTTAGCTTGTATACATTCATTTCTCAGGGTGCGTTATGTTCGGGGGTAGACAGGAGCTGCCCAACAGCTATTCTATTCTATACGGACTGAAAACCGATTCACTGCTTTCTCCCTCTACATGACCCTACCGTCTTCCCCCGAACACAACGCACCTCATTTGAGCTGTACCTGACCGGAAGTATAGCTTGTATACATTCATTATCAGGGTGCGATATGTGCGGGAGAAGACAGTAGCTGCCCAAGAATACCTGCTTCTACTATTCCAACTCTCCTGGGTTTTTTTTTTTTTTTCGCTTTAGCAATTTCCAATTTCTTTGTTTTGTTTGTTTTTTTTGAAAGCGAAAAAAATTGGACCATTTCTCGATTTATGCGTGTCATCCTCGAGAGCGCAGGGGCCATGCTAATCTTCTCTGTATCGTTCCAATTTTAACAGATGTCCCGAAGGACCAATTTCAAATTTCAACCAGTATTCTATCGGCAATTTCAAAATATCCGCATTTTCAGAAATAACAAATAATCACAGAGTGGGTGGTCTGAGGAGGGGGGAGATTTCAATCCGTTAGCCAAAATGCAGTAACTAACAGACGACCGTTCCGTTCCGTTTTCCACCTAAAAAAAAAAAAAACGGTTACACCTAAAAAGCGCCTATCCCAAACAAAAGAGGTACCTCAGGGCATACTCGCCGCACAAGGACCGTTTTCCATTGAACTAGGCCGTATTTCCGGTCACATACATCTGGAGACAGGCAGACAATAGGCAAAAGGAGAGCAACATTGGAACCCTATTTTTCCACATTTTACTGTCTTTGTTCTGTAGCTTATTCCCTTTTCTCTCGCAAAGGAGAGCGACCATGGAACCCTATTTCTACATAACTTTCTTTTTTCTCTAGTTTCCTCACCTTTTTTCTGTTCAGCTTTTTCTCGATTTTTTTCCTCGTTTCTTTTTTCGCTCCTCCACATAATTTCGTTCTTTTCCTTTTTATCCCTTTTTTTCTCTCATGTAAAATACTAAATACGTAATAACTTAATAAGACATCATCATCAATCATCAACTTCGTCCGCATTGCTGGCAGTGCTTAGGGTGACCAATTTGTTTGAACGGTAACCACTTTGTCAACAAAACTTCTTTTTCTCTTTGTTGTCCATTTTTTTTTTGTTTGCTCATGGATTACAACCTGGCCGCATTATTATTTAAAATTAAAAAAAAAGAACTGGTTGCATAGATCACACGCTTCCCACGTGCATCATTAACTCGCCACGTGAGTCATCGATTATCGGTCAAATTGCTGATTAACACGCCGACCACCGATGTTAATTGAATAAATTATTTGAATAAATTAATTGAATACATTAATTGAATAAATAATTGAATACATTAATTGAATAAATTAATTGAATAAATTCATTGAATAAATGAACATCCGCGGGTCGTCACGGGGGGTCGTCACCTGGGACGTCGATTGTCGGTTGAATTGCTGATTTTTATTTTATTTTTCCATAATTCGTCGTCGATTAGCCACGGGGATCGATGATTGCCAAGTTGACCGTTGACTTGCACGTAGATAGCCGCCTCTGGTAGGTAGGTCAGCGCTAATGAGGCAAACCTGGAATTATAATTTTAAAAAACTGAAAAATCCGATGTTAATTGAATAACTTACTAAAGGTGAGTTAGGGATGGGCAAAAAAAAGAAGAAAGAAAAAGGAAAAAAACGCAAATAATCGAGTACCACCATGTGAACGATAAACTATTTTAAGAAGTGAACAGTCGATACGAAGCAAATGAGAGACAGGCCGTGCCTACGATAAGCACTCAATCACCCAGCCAATCATTTAATCAACCAGGCAATCGATTAATCAACCAATTAATCAATCGAGCAGGCAAGCAAGTCACATGGTAAATCAACCAATTAATCAATCGCCCAGCCAATCAATTAATCAACCAGGCAATCGATTAATCAACCAATTAATCAATCGAGCAGGCAAGCAGGTCACATCGTACTGCCACGTCAGCAAATAATCGTCTTGTTCGCCAATCATATTATTTTCATTCCCCGCCTGTTCGTCACTCGATCAACCAACCAACCAACCAATCAATCAATCAACGAATCAATCAATCAATTAACCAATCAATCAATCAATCAATCAATTAATCGATCGACCACTCAATCGAGCAAGCAAGAAGCCACGCTAAACGACATTGCCATATTAGCAAGTAATCGTCCTTACCACCGATCATATCATTTTCATCCCGCCCCTTCGTCACTCGATCAACCAGCCACCCAATCAATCAATCAATCAATCAATCAATCAATCAATCAATCAACCACGCAACAAACCACCCAATCAATCAATCAATCAATTAATCAATCAATCAATCAATCCACCAATCAATCAATCAAGCCGCCATTATATCAATCGATCGAGCAAGCAATCAGGCACGTCAGCAAATAATCGTCCAAATCGCCGCTAATCTGTCAACGCCGTCCTATCACCTGCCTACGATTGATTTATTTTTCTTTTCTTTTCTTTTTCAAACTGCCTACAATTGTCAATCGACATTTTCGAGGGGTCGTTGTCTGGTAAATAGGAAGCCAAAGGCCCAAATGCAAAAGGGAAAAAAAAAAAAAAAAAAGGTGGTCCAAATGCCTCGATACAATCGATCACCCATTATTGACGACGAGTCACCCCGTTAAGTAAAACTTCGGACCCATTTCTCTGTTTACGCGTGTCATTCTTGAGTGCGTAGGGGTGTCATTGTTGCGTGCGTAGGGGTGTCATTGTTGCGTGCGTAGGGGCCATGCTAATCTTCTTTCTCTGTATCGTTCCAGTTTTTTTTCCTTTTCTTTCTTTTTCTTCTTTTTTTCGGCTTTGGATAATTTCTCGGATTATGGGTGTCATCCTTGCCCAGGGAGGGGCCATGCTAATCTTCTCTTTCTCTGTATCGTTCCATTTTTTACTGATGTCCTGATTCACATTGTCACAAGGGTTTGAACTAGACAGTCTGCAAGGATTACAGCCATTTTGCTCTGTGAGTAAAGCCAGCCACTCTTCTTTTCCTAAAGAGGGCAAAATGGTGAGTGGTGTCCTTCGGCACATCCGTTAAAATGGACCGATAGAGAGAGCAAGGATACGACACGGATAAATCGAGAAATGGTTTGAAATCTTAAACACACACACACACACACACACACACACACACAAAGGAAAGAAGAAAACATGGTGAGTCCTTATCCATCAGTTAACTGCATACACTGGGCAGACAGTCGGATTCCATCCTCCTCTTTTTATTTTCGTTTCTTTTTATGAGTCAGTAAAAGTCCGACGAAACAGTCTCCGACGGAACAGTCTGTCACATTTACCACCCTTTTTTTTGTGAGGTCGTGTTTAGCGAATTACCAGAAACGCACAAAAAACACAAAATACTCACCCCCAAAACCCACTCCGCCCAACACACACACACACACACACACCCCAATCACGACTCAGGCAACCGGTAGATTATCCAAGTCCTAGCAATCTCAGCTATTGGTGGGGTTTTGGAAAGTGATGAATTAAGGATTCCATGGATTGTTTCATTTGAGAGCGTGAAGGAGGACAAAGTTTCCGATCATCCGCTTTGATCATGCCACTAGGCATTTGATTCAATCAATGATTACTTACAGGCACAATTATGTTAAAGACCAGTGTTCCTCTTTTTGCCCTGGTTAATATGAATTCTGTTGGATTGACAAAAAAAAAAAAAAAAAAAGAGAATAGTGTTCATTACGGCGGGAAGGAAGGGGAAAGTTGCACACGCGACCGACTGGCCTAGCTCAGTCAGTACCGACATGAACAGTTGAATTACAGACCTGAGTTCGAATCCACATGGAACTACATGAATGACACAAAAAAAAAATCTGACTCACTTGAAAAAAAAAAAAAAGAAGAGAAGGGGGGGGGAAGTTGCGCAACCGGACAAGCGGAACGGCGGAACGGCGGAACGGCCATGTGGCAAAGTTGCACACCCGGACAACAAAGTAGGACAGGTTACCATTCGGCCATGTGGCCGAATGGTAAATCCATCAACTCTTGATAAACAGACCTGAGATCGAATCCTGGAGCAATAAGATAAATTTTAAAAAAATGGAAATGGACACGTTATCCAATCCTGACGTACAGAGCTGAGGTAGTGACAATGAAGAACAAAACTGAGCTCTTTCGAGTCCGGAAATTTGAATGACAAACGAAAAGAGGATGAAGTTGGAATGGAAAATACCTTGAGGTCATGCAACAAGAAGAGAGCTAACTGTTGTCTAACACCAGAGGGCAGATACGCGTACGACAACTGACGTGGCCGGACATACAGCTGTACCAATATACACAAGGACACGCGATGAGGGGTCAATCTCGACGTAGGCATGCCCTCCATGTTCGTCTTCCTGATACAGCTGCTGCAACCTTTTCCCCTTCCCCTCCCCTCCCCTCGCCAGTCCTCCCCTTCCC